CTTCTACATTGTAAACACTTGAGTGAGTGCATTGTGAGGATGAGGTCCAGCTCTTGCTGAGTAGAGGGTGCTGTTAGGGAGTGTTTTGTGGGCTGACTTATTTGGTTTGGATTGTGGGAGCCTTGGTGTTGGCATTTTGAGCTTCAAGAAGCTTTCTTTGTGAAGAAATGACCTTACTTTGTTGTCATTTTCGTTCTTTGCAAAGTCAGAACCTTTGGGAGCTGCTAGAGAGTTCCAATAGCACCTTCTTGCTCTGTTTTGAGCTTGTGGTATGATCATCACCCTTGTGCTTGAGTTTCTTTGTTAAAAATGAAACCTTGATGCATGTAATGAACTAAAGTTGATAACTTAAGGTTGTGTAATGCTAAACACACCTTAAATCGCATGTTTGAGCTTCGGTATGCATGAAATGAACCACCTTTGGGAAGGATATCTCGCGAAATACAGAACTGCATTCTGTCGCGAAATATCTCGATATTGATATCCGGATATGATATCCGGATATGGGGATCTGAATATCCGGATATTGAGAGAGAGATATCCGGATATTGGTATCCGGATATGCCCCCGATGAATATCCGGATATTCTGGGTTTTTGAAGAACAGAAGCTGTTATGTTCATACAGATTGATTTTTATGGGTTTGTGGACCCATGATGGGTTATGTTGAACCTCTGTAATAATTAGTTAAGTCAGAATCAAAGGATTAAAGGCTTGTGGCTTTGTGAGAAGCCTTAAGACATAGAACACAAAGGAAAAATGTTGTCTTTATGTATATGCTTGTGAGCTATAGTTATTGATATGATTGCTGGTCCAAAACAGATTGTGATTCTGCTGTGTGTGGACCTTGAGCTTGTGTGGACTCTTGGCTTGGATTGTTAGCTTGCAAGGTAAGCTTTCGTGTCCTCGGTTTAGCCATTGTATGTTCCATCATGTCCCATGGGGGGATGGTTTATATGCATGATGTGTTTTCATGTACTGTTTTATTGAAATGCTATGGAGCTATTAAGTGCAAAATGTTTATGATATGTATGTGGTGTTTCGCCTAGTCAGGAAGCCATGGGTTGGTACTGGGGGAGGGTACAGCATGGGCTGGTACTGTGTGGGTAATAGACGTATTCCTGCACTTCTCTGATCAGTAGAATTGTTATAACACACATGACATGATTATCTGCTGCATTGCTCTATTTTGGAACTTATACTGTTGAACTGCTTTTGAATTTATATTGCACATGTAAGTGAGCTTAGGGTGGAAGATCCTTGAGGACCCCTTGTCTTACTGAGATGTCTTTTTAGAGATCTCACCCCACGTTTGGGGCACATATTTCAGGTTCAGGTAATGTGGGGGTTGAGACCTCTAGCGGCAGGAGGCCGGAGCTTAGCTGATTATATGTTGTTATGCTGCTTATGTTGGATGCTGGATATTGACTGTTTTCATGATGTTATTGTTGAGACTGCTGTGGGGCTTTGTTGTCTTATTTGGTGAGCATGGGGATTATCCATGCCACATTGACTTGACTTTATGTTTAGTTGTTTCTAGTTGTAATTAATAATGTATCAGGATGTTGTCCGGACTACGTGTTGTAAATTCGTGACTTAGATATTCACATCTATGTTATGAGGTATTTCAGTTAGCTGTCTTTTGCAATTTACATACAGACGATGTTTTATGAAATGAATTAAGTTACTAAACTTTGGTTAATGATAATGACGTCATAATTGAAAAGAAAAAAATATTCCGCATTTTTAAATTAAGCATGACTTAATACGATGATATGATAACAAACCAGATATATACGAGGTGTTACAAAAATCATGGTACTTTTGTAATTTTATTTTATTTCAGGGTTATTAAAAATTTTATAATTATTGTTATTAATTTTTTACTCCCAAAACGACGTCGTTTTGGGAGTAATTGCAGATAACATTTCTACAGTAACTGCATAAATATTTTTCCCATATATATATAGGTTTGGTGTTTGTCATTTTAAATGACATAAGTTATGTCATTTTAGGAGAGAGATAGGCACAAAAAATGAAAATCATGGGAGAAAGAAAATGGGTAGTTTTTTTTAATTTAAATTTTAAATAAAAAAATTATTTTGTGTGTATCTCTATCTTATAATGACATAACTTTATGTCATTTAAAATGACAAACACTTTTCCCTATATATATATGGGTTCGCTTTTTCTGCAGTTACTGCAGATAAGTTATCTGCAGTAAGCCCAATAAGACGTCGTTTTGAGGCGGAAATCATGGTGTTTTTGTAATTTTAATTTATTTCAGGGTTATAATAGTCTTTATATTTATAATTTTTTAAAATTTTAATACCAAAACGACGTCGTTTTGAAAAAAATGCAGATAAGTTATCTGCAGTAACTGCAGAAACATTTTTCCCTATATATATATATATATATGTTATTTTACCTCTGTTTAAGTTATACTCTCAATCTTGACCGTTAATCCTATCCGTTTAAGTTATACTCTCAATCTTGACCGTTAATCCTATTTTTATCTAACAATTCTGATTTACTAGACATGTAAGCCATTTAATGCAAGGAAATCAATAACCTAAATTTAATGTAAAATTTGTTATTTTTACAATGTGTAAGAATAACTTGTCCTACCAACAAAGTCCAGTACAGTTGGTAGATAGCTAGGTTCCTTAAGCATGCTGACAGGGGTTTGATTCTTGGCTGTGCGTATGGAAAAAGCTTTGTTGGGAGAGGTTTACCCACTTAATGTGATCTTCCGCCTCGAAAGGATTAGTCTTCGACCGTCGGCTAGAGGATACCTTGAAAAACAAAAAAACAAAATAATAACTTGTCCAATTGCCTATATATATATATATATATATATATGAGGCAGGATCTTTGACACTAGTGTCAAATTTCAAATTTGACACCATATCTGAGAGACATTAGATAAAAAAGATCAATGGTGTCACATGCTTGCAAATCAGAGTCGTGGTTGTTTTTTGATCGAATGTCTCTCAGATATGGTGTCAAATTTGAAATTTAACACTGGTGTCAAATGATCCTACTTCTATATATATATATATATATATTATTCATTATTTGGCGAGACCACGTGATATCATTTATATTGGTTCAATTGATTATCTGGGGAGTCAATGTTATATCATTTATGCAATTTGTTTCCCTTCTATTAAAAATTTGTGAGGAAACGTAAGAGCGCCACAACCATCACCAATTATCGGCTCAGAATTACTACCGAGCTTCACCCATATGTACCACTACTACTATTATTATTGTTATCTATGATGCACCGACATCGACACGGGACACGACATGCTGACACATTAATTCTAAAAAATGTCATATTTCGACACGTTGGGACATGTTTTTATATTAAATAAAATTTTTAATATATACAATATAATTTATATTTAATACATATAAGAGTTCATAATAAGTTATATAACCAATCAAATATTTAAATTTCATAACATAAATATAAAAAAATAATTTTTCGTACATTGTTAATTTTTCATGTCAAATTTCATAACAAATTTTTTTTTATATTTAGATAATAAAATAAAATTAAGATTAAAAAAAAGCGTGTCGGAACGTGTCGGAAAAAATTATCTGCGTGTCAAAAAAATATATTGGAGCGTGTCGAAGAGTTGACCGCATATCCTTCCGTGTCCGACACGCAAAATTTTCAAAAAACATCTGTGTCTGTGCTTGTTAGATTATTATCACTAACCATTTGTCAGCAATATTGATAATAAATTTAAATTTTATTTTAAAGAAGATATATGTATATTTTTTAATTTTGGTAAATTTTATAAATTATTTCATCTATTTTATTTAAAATTATGATTTTAATTTTTTAATATTTTTTTAAAAAATTAGCTTGTACGTAAATAAGTGATAAATAGTTTTAAAATATTTTTAAAATTTATATTATAAAATATATTTTTATCTATTCATGTTATATCCGGATATTATCTAGTTCACTTCAAATATATATCAATATAAAATAATAATACTATTTAATACGCAACAAACACAAAATATGATATGTCTTATCCAAAGACTTTTATGATAAGAGTTTTATTTTTCTTGTCCTTATCCTATTTTTTTATCAATTTAATCCTAAAATATATTCAAACTTAAATTTCTTTAATTTGGTTTTTCACATTTTTTCAGACGAATCAAAACGATACTTTTACATTCTTCTTTCCTTTATGAAACCCCAATGTAATGGAAACGCAGCGCCTCCAAAACAACCTATAATTAAATAGTTATCATTTATGACAAATAATATCAAAGCTACAATTAATAATTTAACAATGTTTTACTAGTTCAAGTGAAAGGAGATGGAGTTCTTTAAATACGTGATTTGATTTGATTTAATTTAATTTTAGAACTTATATTATATGCATAAAGTAATACCGATTAAAAAAAGTTTGAAAATATCTTCTTATGTGAAAAAAAAATATGATAGTCATGTACGAAGATCACAACCAAAGTTGTTAAAATTGAGATTTTAAGTAAAATCGGAAGGTGATTAATAAATTGTAAAACGTAAAATCGTAATGTAAAAAATCGTAAAAACGTAAAAACGTTTGGAATATTGATAAAATCGTTTTGATGAAGAAAAATCATAAAAACGTAAAATCGTAGTAATAAATTGAGATTTTAACAACTACAATCACAACTATACAAAGGTAAATGAACTGTTATGATTTTCTAACTACCTATTTTAATATTTTTCTCTCCTTTTTTATTATTATTTATTTATTTTTATATAGTTATGATTCTTCACATGACATCATGACGTGAACTTTAATCGTGAAAGATCTAGATCCAAAATATTTTCACATTCGAGGTGGATCGTGTCACGTAAATTAATTTCTTACTTACTGATATTTCGGAAAACTAATAAATAAAACGGCGGGTCCCACCTATCGCGGCGAATAGTCAGGGTGGCGAACTGATGATAGGTGCTAGATAATCGGCGTCGATTTTAAAAACACTATCTTGTCGTTTTGGTGATTGAAAGTTAAACGATCTCGCTTAGCTTCGATCTCATTGAACCCTATTCTTGTTTATCTCCTTCCCCTAAATACCAAAAACCAGAGAAGAGAATTTCAATCCCTAATAAAGTTTCGTCTCGAAACGAGACTCCATGCGACTCTGGTTCTCCCCCTTCGCCCTCTCCACAGAGGACTTGTTTGATTTCGCTTCTAAACTCGTAGTTTCTTTTCAGCATACGGATACTCTTGCACAATTCACCGATCATGTCCTTCGATTCACATGCCCCTAATCCCTACCCCAAGGGTCTCCTCTGCAATGCCGGCGCTGGTGCTGCCGCTGGTATACCAATTTCTTTTCATCCTTTTCTTCTATGCATCCTTTTATTCATAGAAACACTTTTAATCATAGAAAATCGTTTATTCATACTTTTAAAAAAAAAAAAAAAAAAATTGATGCAGGAGTTATTGCTGCTACGTTTGTGTGTCCTTTAGATGTTATCAAAACTCGGTTTCAGGTTCATGGAACGCCTCAGCTCGCTAATGGAAGTGTTAAAGGTATGCGCTGACTTGTGTGCTTCTTATGTTGATATAGTATAAACCTTTTTACTATGAAAAAACCAACACAATGGAGACTGCCCTGTAAGTTACTTATACAAAGTACTTTCTTTTTACTATCTTAGTTTTAAAGTTTGATTCATCATTCTTAGATTTGTTAATATATGGAAACGGACTGAAAACATTTTAAAAACTTGGTGTTTCTGTCATCAGGCAGTGTTATAGTTGGTAGTTTGGAACAAATATTTCACAAGGAGGGATTGCGTGGCATGTACCGTGGGCTAGCCCCAACTGTGCTGGCCTTACTTCCAAACTGGGCGGTGCGTTCACTTCTTGCTTCTTGCTGATGTCTGTTTGTACGCATTATTTTTCCTGATGAACTACTTATGAAAAAAGACGACTGTAGGCTTAAAAGTTAAAACTGGTGGACTGAAAAGGTTTGGCACACGCGTAAAAGAAAGGGTGATTTGTAGCCAATAGAATGGTGTTTAAAGAGTCCATTGGTGACTGATTGTGTGCTGTGAGTAATACCTGCAAAATATGGTATATGGGGTTTGATGGTTTCTGAGGTAGGTTTAACCAATCATCAACTAGGTTTGTGTAGGAATGCTATTGGATTGGGGTATCGGCAGACTATAAAACAAGAGAAAAGAGATTAATGTTGATAAGTAGAAATTCACCTAGATATCACACCTAGATTACATGATTGGTATGATTGCATCACACAATCAAGAACGGAGCAATCTGACTGCAATAATTTGTATAACTGGTCTTTCTTTATTATTTAATAGTTGAGTACATCACTTAAGTAGGACAAGTCAAAATTTAGGACGAAATACCAGTAAGGCCCAAGTTGATAAATCTGCTACTAATAAACAAAATGAATGACCCAATTAAGTAAACAAGGAATAGCTCACAAACTATAGCACGTATACTGATCAGGCTAAATACCTAACTTTAAGACACCAATGGAAAATTACTAATATACCCTTGGACCAAACAATATAATATTAACCAAAGTAGCACTAGTTGACTGCATAATAAACCTGATAAATCTAAATAGTTATGATTCTGTAGAGCTATAAGTATTACCATCAGCACTAATGTTTAATTTAAAACCAAACTAATGAGATCTTTTGATTTTTAACCTTATGCCTTTTGTATTTTCTTGCTGCCTAATCAATGTAACTTACTATTGGATAATGTATTTTGTTGTCCACTACATATCTCTGTATGATACTGGCGTTCAGTCTGTCTACAGTCTTTTTGTGAAGCAGAATACTGTTCTATTATATTAATATTCTAAAATGTATCAATTTGTTACTATGCAGGTCTATTTTACAATGTATGAGCAGCTCAAGAGCCTACTTTGTTCTGATGGTTAGTTTATTGTTGATTACTTTTGTTTTGAGCTTGCTAACTTGCTGTTTTTGTGTTTGTGTATTAATTTGTGACATGTGCAAATTATAATAGCTATGGTACATATGCAGATGAAAGCCATCATCTCTCATTTGGAGCTAACATGTTAGCTGCTTCAGGTGCTGGAGCTGCCACTACCATTGCTACAAATCCACTCTGGGTTGTCAAGACTAGACTCCAAGTGTGTTTCTTTTCGGTTCATGCTGAAACTTATGTTATCATCGATTTGCTTATGCTATCAACCTATCATATATAATTGACATGATTAATGAGTGCATTAAAGCTTCAAACATATTCAATTAGTTGTTTATTAAGTTTAAAAACTCTTTTGATGTATCTTTTATCATTAGTGTCTTGGAAGTAGATATATTAGAATTTTATTATCTTTTTGGCATACCACTACTAGAACTATGTCTTCATCAGATGAGAAGGCAACAAAGGCATCATAAATTTGACTTAGTTTGCTGGCTTTGAGTATAACATCCATGCAAGATGACAACTTTCTGACTGGGAAAAAAATGAACTCATAAACCTGCTGGTTTTTATGTTTTTGCCTTGGGTGGATCATGTTATCCCTTTAGGAGCAGGGATATATGGTCGTTGAACAGATTGCTATTATAAGAATACTAGTGTTCCTATAAGTATTCAAGGATGTATGTACGTTAAAACTACAGGACTTACTTTACCCTGCTTATCATCAGTGCGTGTGTGCATGTATATTCTGCACAATAAGTTTGCTTCCTTTGTTACTGCAGACCCAGGGAATGAGACCTGGTATTGTGCCATATAGGAGCACACTATCTGCTTTGAAGAGAATTGCTCATGAGGAGGGCATCCGAGGGCTATACAGGTTGGCGTTGCTTATCATTAAAGTAACATCATGGTTAATGTATAATGCTATATAATTAATAATTTATTGACATCTGAAATATCCTTTATTATAAACAGTGGCCTTGTACCTGCTCTGGCTGGTATCAGTCATGTTGCCATACAGTTTCCAACATATGAGAAAATTAAATTTTATTTGGCGAAACAAGGTATTTAATGCCAGTTCTAGTTTGTTGCAACCGCTTGAAAGTTTTTGCGGTCAGTTAATTTGATCATTGTTTTGTATCAGATAACACAGCAATTGATAAGCTCGGTGTTCGTGATGTTGCAATTGCCTCATCAGTCTCCAAAGTTTTCGCATCCACACTAACATATCCTCATGAGGTATGTTGCCGAAAGATTGACTTAGTTTAGTTGAAGATATTCATGCCTAATCATGGATACTCATACTCCTTGTTGTTTAGCCTTGTGAATTTAATCACTTTGCCATTTCTAGAATCCATAATCAGGAATCCATTAGAATAAGGAACAGTGTATCCATTAGAATCACTTTGCCATTTTCAGGGGTACCATGACTGATACAGGGGTACCATAATCAGGAATCCATTAGAATAAGGAACAGTCTCCAAAGTTCCAACCGTCGAGCAGGGAGTGTCACCATGTAAAATGCTATACAGGGGTACCAATCCTCCATTAGGGGGCGAAGCTACCAACCCAAGAGTCTTACCGGAATGCCTTGGCTATGTATATAACCGTATTGTTTTTTTACCCTGGAGGATGTAATCATACTTCTTGCATATGTGGATCCCTACAATTCAAGCAATGGGATCCCGAAATAAGGTTATGGGGGCTGAAATTCACCTTGAGGACAAGTTGAAAGGTTTTTTTTTGGGGGGGGGGGGGGGAGAGTATTGATACTGTACGACAAAAAATATGGAAGAATACATCTGAGGAAGAGGTGTAGGGGATTAGAAGACCCATGTGCACAGCATATGTTATAATTAAAGGGTGAGTCAGTATTGGGGGAATGGAGGGAAAGTTGGTTAGAGGAGTCACATTATTTGCAATCAATTTGTTATATATAGAGAGGGGAAGACTGAAGAAGAATCATCTTTGCAAAGTATTGGGATCCTTTTGGATATTAGGAGAGAACCTTGAGCCTCTCGAATTGCTCAGGAATATCCTTATTTTCTTTTATTTTAATGTGTTAGTTCTTCATTGCTTGTAATTTGTCTGTTTGTATCGCAGTTTTATTGTTAATGCAAGAGTCATACTGTTTTCTTTTTAATTCTCTTATTTCTCTGGGTTGATCCCTATCAGAAGGATTCATGAATTCCTCATTTCCATTCTTTGGGGTGTATCAGAAAGTAACGAATGGTTTTGTATTTTTGTTTGCAGGTTGTTCGTTCTAGATTGCAAGAACAAGGGCACCACTCAGAGAAGCGGTACTCTGGTATGACTGACTGCATTAGAAAGGTATTTCAACAAGAGGGGCTTCCTGGTTTTTACCGCGGGTGTGCCACCAATCTCCTGAGGACAACCCCAGCTGCTGTAATCACATTCACCAGCTTTGAAATGATGCACCGTTTTCTTGTTTCACTTTTTTCCTTCTGACCCACAGCCACACATTTTGTGATGATGGAGCATGGTGGTTGTCTATAATCTGCAGCAGTAGAATGGTTCCAAAACGTAAGCTAGTCCAGCCAACTAATCTTTTTTTTGGTGATTAAGATCCTATTCTTTGCGATTCTTAATTGTTATGTATGGTAGATTTCCACATCATTTGAACCAAAATTTAGTCGTTTTCCCCCGTCAAACCCTGCAAATTAATTGATTTTGGTGGTGGTGGACGGAGGTCTTAATGTATATTGGAAAGTGATAATGACGATAAAGATGTTAGTGTTACAACGTGGCGTTGTTTATTTTATTTTGAATCTGCTGAATAATCAGATCCTGTTAAACATTCGCAACCTCAATCTTTGCTTCGCATCTCATGCATCTAGGATCCCGGAATATTGGTTCATAGGCCCATTACTTACAATATCAATCATCAAACTCGTGTTCCTTAGCGAGTTAAAGTTGTACAGATAGGGCGCATGTTAATGAGTGGTAAAATCGATTGCATATATTTTTTTGGCTGTCAAAAACTGCTAAATATATTAATACATAATCTGATGATGCAGTCGCTGCCCCTTTAGCATTATAATTCATTATTCACTAACTAATCTATCCTCTCCCCTCCCCTCTTTTTTCCGTTCTCTACGAGAAAACGAAATTCAATTTAGTTAATGGTATGTATGCACATTTACTCATCTACGGTTAATATTTGATTGACGTGGATCAAGCATTTTATATTTAGTTAAATGTCACAAAGATGTTCCGACTTTCCAATATTTTCCCTAGGCTGGAATATTACTACTAGGAAATAAAATCACGACTTTGAGGTCTCTGGTCGCACAGGGGCACCTCTGGTACAACTCAGCACTTTTGTTGCTGAAATACTCGGTGGTGGGCTGTTATGTGCCCCTTTTGGGAGGTTCTGAATGTGACCCCTTATCGTCATGCCCCAGAAAGGCGTAGAGGAGAGGAGCAAACCCAATACCTTAAGGACTAGTAGGCCCCGGTTAAACTTAGGTTGAACGCAACCACCCTATATCTATATATATATATATATATATATATAGTGTTACCTGTTATTATTGTAGAGGGGGTAGCGGGAGATGCCTTTGGAAGGGAGGCAGAAAGAAAAGGACGGGAAAGGAAAAAATATGTGTCTTTTTAAAAAACACAAACTTATATCTTTTTAAGAAAGAGATAAGATTTACACTTTTATTTTTTTTAATAGAATTCATACATCTTCATATTTATCTCTCTTTTAAAAGGATATAAATTTGTGTCGTTGAAAAGTAGAAAGTGTCTATGACTGCTTTTTCCTTTTGGATGTTTAAAACATAAAAATGTAGTAAAGAAAACGGGACGAAGGCCCGAAATGACTCAAAATGGAGGATCGAATCTTTTAGGAGGGTTGCTTACTTGCTTTCCTCATCTAAAATTCTATTAAACAACGAAGAAAATTCAATCTAAACACGGGATCAGATGTCATAACATAATGTGTCAATTTATCAGGACTGAAGCTTTAGGCTAGTTGACTCATCATAATCAGAGGCACTTTGAATGCCTAACTAAACGTCTAACAGCTGGGAGGTTTTTCTCCATCAAGAGAATCCATCTCAATCAGCTTTCTTGCCAAGCATCCAATCCTTTCCCCATAGGAACACTTGGTTCAATTATATTGTGTTTTAAGTGTATTATCATGTACAACCAAATAAACCTGTTTTGTTGCTTTGCTTTCTAATTTAACGCTGGATCTCGATTAGAAAATTCATCTCCTCTTTCCATGAGAATGCCAGTTAACTCATGCAAATTAAGGTAATGATGGTCCATAATTGGACAACTCATTAGTAAATATAAAGTGGGGGTACCATCTAACTAAGGAGATTAAAGACTAAGGATTAGCAACCACTTCTTGGGAAATGTTTATTCTAGTACTACTGTACCATTCACTCAGTGCATCTATCCAATAAAAAATGAAGAATGACTGTTATGTTTGTACGGAAAGGAGAGAAAAATATTTTTTTTATCCAAATGTCACTTGTTGAATGACAGATGTACCCACTACAAATGTACAGAAGAAGATGTCGACTTCTTGGCAATCCAAAATTTGAGACATCCCTGGACAAGACACATGGGATTGGATTCGTTTGTAATGTTCCATCACATCCAAAGGGAACAAAAGAAAAATTACTATGGTCTTACTTTCAGCTTTCTTGAACGTATATAAGCACAATTTATATTTATAATTTTTGTTCAGATAAGGGTAGGAGTTAGAATAAAGTCAAAGATGGTATTAATTGACAATGGGGACTCAAATGTTTTGTTGAGTGGCGTTATCGCTGTTGTGATATAAGAAACAAGGTTTCAACACAAGTACATACGTTGAGGATAACAGGAAGAAAACATGGCTGGACCTAGGAAAAGGAGTGGGATATAAGGAGCAGAGCAAGGGCAACATTATTCTTTCACTTTCACCTTCATCATAGTTTGGTCGGTCCAAAATTCATAAATATATCAAAGCAACCGGGAGTGCTATGCTTTCATGATTCCTTTTGGAATGCTTACTACCCCACCTCTTTAGAGAGTGCGGTGCTTGTGGGGGAGAAAGAGTGACATGACAAAGAACTAACTTTTTTTTTTTCTTCTTCCTGGACCATTTTCCTTTTGAGAATTAGTATTCCATTAATTAACTGAGAAATTAACCTTTTTTTTTTCCCCTTTCAAACAAAGAATTTAAACCCACCTACTGCCACATTTTGGTAATGCAACTAACTCTTTTTTCCCTTAAGAGTAAAGGTTAGGCTTCTCTTTTGTTTATATAAATATTTACATGCCCGTTTATTCAAGTTTTGTACATATATTTTGTTGGTTTAAAAATTGTGTGCATGCAATTTATAGCTGGTGTAATCTTCCGAGGAAGGCCATTGGAAATATAATAAGTTTATGATAGTAATAACGACCATGATTAATGCTTTAACTATGACAGCAAAAAGGGGCTCTCAGACTAAAGTTATACCCTCCAGAAAGTCACTGCTATGATGAATAGAGTAGGTGACAATCTTCTTATATTTAGGGGATCATGTTATGGATCATGGCCAAAAGGTACACCTACATTTCATAAAGACTAAAGAGGAATACCAACCAGATTGTAATAATGCTCAACTTTTGTCCTCTTTCATGTTTCAACAATGTCAAAACTCAAAACAACTGGTAATAGTAATTAGTTAGTACTATCAGTCCTTAACAGATTAATACATGGATTTGTTTACAAACATCTCATTCTTGTTTTAAGGCAAGTATATTTAAACTTGAAATCTCTAGACTTTCAATCTTTGTAAAGAAATTCACGTACGTTTGTATTGTTGATACAATTTCATTAAGGAAAAATAAATAAATTAGAATAAGCCTATACATTAAGAGGAGGATTAATTTGTTGTTTCTCTTTTTGGGAGGGTATTGAGTATTTTTTTATTTTTTATTTTTGGTCATCGGGATTGAGTGTTGCTTTCCACAAAATGAGGGTGCATGTGCTTCCATTGTATGATGTGGCTTGCCATCTTCAGGGTTGACAGCATGAATCTGCACATTTCTGCACCACAAAGTGATGTGAACCTCACAAAGGGAGTTCATGAATATAATCATATATTATGGTCAGCATCCGGGCTCACTTATCATGTGAAAGTCATAAAGAAAAAAGCAATAACATACAACTTTAACCTTTCAATAATAATCTCGTACCTATGAAGCTTCCTTAGATTCATCAACATCTTAAATTATAATCCAACAATTCCAGAATCATTAACAATATATATATATATATATATATATATATATATATATATATACACACACATATAATCCAACAATTTACTACCTTTGGTGTTGACCTGATTAACAATATCTAAACGCTAAAGCAGTAGCTAGCTTTAGCCCTTTTACTGTTACTAATTAACTTTCTTCCTTACTTAAACTGAATTCATGAACCTCAGAAAGGGAGTTCATGAATATAATCATATATGATTATACTCTGGCTAGCAAATCGTTGAATTATACTCTACAAAATAATAAAAGATTGGTTCAGTGGTGAGAGATTTGAATAGTATGTATCAAGTTATAGATTCCCCATCACTGTCATCATTGTATATAAAAAAAATGCTAGAGGATATATTGATCATAATAATGTAATTAATGATATATTTATAGGATAAGGTTATATTGATAAAAAAAATTTCTTATAAACTTACAAACTACACTAAGTCTGACTAGTCATATACTCTTGGTTGAAACTTGACTAATCAGACTTAGTGTAGTTTGTAAGAAATTTTTTTTGTCAATATAACTTTTCTTATTCATATATATATATATATTTCATGTTACATAACAATTATGTTTCCAACTGTTACGTTACTAGGTAAGATTAAGAAAGAGTAATGAATAGGTTTAGAGTCTGAATTGTCAAGAAGGAAATTATTATGCGACGAAAACGCTTGTGTTGTATTCCCTAATCCCATTATGTGTGTAGAGAGCAGTGCACACGCGCTTGAGGTGGAAGTGGTTGTAGGAGAGAGTGGATTGAGGGGGTGAATACTGCGTAGCACGTTGCCAGTTGCCGGCGGTTATGATGAGCCACGTAGGAAAAGATTATCCCACTCGTCTGATTTTTTCTTTCTTTCTTCTAAATGACCTGCGATCGAGTACGTGGGCCCATTACATAGAAAATGCTTTCTAATTGCCCGCGAAGTGGGTCCCATTTAGATGCTCTACGTGGCCCTTACCTTAACCATGCTCCCGAACCTCATCGCTTTGGTCCCGAAGCACCATTTTGAATATTTCGAACGTTACGGTGATACGGTAATCGATTTCACAATTGTGCCCTGGCCTTTGATTCTCGTTCCACGTTCTAATTCAGCGAGGGTATTGTATAACTTACGATGAGATTCTCACTATTTCTTGATGCATTGGCATTGAAGATAACTAAGCAAGGTAAACAAAAAAAAAAAATTAGGTAAAATAATTTATCCTATTTAAAATATAGGATATGATATTGTTACTATTAAATAATGTTATTATCATATCTTAATCGTTGATTTTTGTCAACCAACGATTATTATTTATTCTGAATTAATAATTAATTAATGAGTTTAATTTGTGAAAATAATAATCGTTGATTGACAAAAATTAACAGCTAAGACATGATAATAACATTATTTGATAGTAATAATATCTTATCCAATATTTTAAATAGGATAGATTATTCTACCTACTTTTTTTTTACCTTATTTAATCATCTTCAATACCATTGAATCAGAATATCACGATAAGAGAGAAATAACGAGAATCTCACCATAGGTTATACAATACCCTCGCTGAATTAACGGCCAAGGATGGTCGGAGTGCATCAACTCACTCAGAGCAACAAAGGATGAACACCCTTTGGTTATTTAGTTCTAAATTTGATAGCTAAACATAATATCGACAGAATTTATCCATATCTAGATAAGATTTTCATAATGCCACATTAATCAGTATAATAAGAGATTCAATTATAATATTTTAAATCAGAAGAAGATTCTTGTAATTTGATTACGCATTTAAGGAGGTGAATGTGATTATTCATAATAATTATACTAAAAATGGTTTTATTTTTTTAAAATAAGAAAAATGTAACGAATACGCAGAACCATTGAATTATATTTCACTCTTCAAAAAACAATGTAGGACTTTCAAGACTCTCAGGGTTAGGTCCTACTTTAGTGGGGAAAACCTACTATACGAACTTAATTGACTTGGATGAGAAGGGCACAGTTGATTTGCATCGCATTGCAAATTGCAACGTTGATTTTTAATTTTTCATCATTAAAACTTGAATCCTTGCACCATTAGAGGTAACTGTTTTCCAACAACCGCTTCACTAACCGACAGAGACGTTCTGTCTACCAACTGATGTGGTGACATGCCCCACTCATTTTTAAGTTACAATTAAGAGTTAGATGGATTATTATTTTATTATAAAAGACTATGTGAAATTGTGAATGCTTGCTTTCAACTTTTGTTAACTTGCTCAAGCCAACATAGGTATGCAGCAATTTCGCTGAAGCCTATCCATAATCCACTTTCGTAATTTGGAAACTTAACCACCTTCCATTCATGATGGATCAAAATGTTGAACTCTACGTATATATTCTTATGTGCGTCATAACTTCTTGAGAAAAAAGCTAGATACTTTACATCAGATAATGACCTGACCCTCTTTGAACTGAACACATTCTCACAAAATTCTAATTCATTAAACATACATTGGCTTAGTTAAATTATTCTTCAGGATAATTAGCCTAAACAATGATGGGCATAAAGCTAATTAGGAGCATCTTAGTGTTACAAGCTCATCATCATCATCATTATCTTATTCTTATAATGTGAAAACCATGATTAATTTGAAATTCCAGCGGTAGGAGGGGGACCAACTAAATTCTTATATTTTGAATCAATGAGCCAAATAATGTTTTTGAAGTACAAAGTTGATTGACCAAACGTGATGTTTTGTGGATGAGCATTAACGAAGTAGACAAACCCAACCACCCCCAACTTCTCAAAGAGAATTTTTTAAGTGTTTATATATTATTTTTTTGGAAAAAATGTTTGTCCTTTTAAATGACACAACTTATATCCTTTCACTCTCACAAAGAAGTGGGATCCACACCTTTATTTTTTTTGTAAACTTTCTCTCCTCCTTTATCTATCTTTTTTTCTCTCTTAAAATGACACAACTTTACATCCTTTAAAATGACACACACTTTATTTTTATTTTTATTTTTATTTTGAATCCTCAAAGGAGGGATTTTATTCTAAGTTAAGGAGAACATACTTCTTCACTTTTCTTTTTTCTGGATTATTATCTTCTGCCCCCTTCTGAGTGGGCAGCATATTATATAGAATAAGGAGGGTCGTCTCAACGGTCCTGGCATTAAGTGACTGTCATCATGCCATCACTCTTGTACTATAGACTTAAATTTGTTTAAGAAAAAAAAAAGTATAGAGAAAAAGAGGTTATGGCAACAACCAATATAACCTATGAGTATTAAGGACAGGTACTTATGATTCATGCTCATATCCTAAGCGCATTGTTCACGCGTGCAATATTCATATATTTGATTTTTAATGAAATCCTTCAACTAGGAACTTGGAAATATATTAATAAGAAAAAGATAATTCGCATAGGAACAAAACAATAAAAAGCCCACAAGTTGGTTTTTCATAAAGTAGGTTGGTGGCAATGGAGCAGTAAAAACGGGGCACCTAAAATGAAAACTGGGCATTCAGGGTTGGTCGGTTAACAATCACCAAGTTGGAACTATCATATAAATAAAGGGTTATGTTATTTTAGTTTTTAATATTATGTATTATAGATGGTATATAATGATAATATGAAAAATTATTTTTTTTTCTCTCTTCATGTATGTCAGTTGAAGTGATTGAGGAGAGAGAGGAAAAAAAACTTTTCATATTATTATTATTATATATTATCCGTAGTACATAATGTTAAAAATTAAAATGACACAACTTGTATCCTTTAAAATGACGAACCTTTTTTCCGTAAATAAATGTCTTGGTATCCATATATAGGGCTGGCATGGGACGAGCTCACTTTTTGAAGGGTTGATAGTGAGAAGGAGCGAGCCAGATGGGTCAATGTAAAATAAGTTCGACTCAGCGGACCAACCCATCTCGTTCGCCAAACGAGACAAGACGGGCTTTATTTTTTAGCCCATTTTTAAAAACGGGACAGACAGCTTTTTTTTTTGACATGTTAATAGTGGGGCGGAGCAGACGAGGTGACCCGCTCACTTTGCCAACTCTATCCATACATGATATCATGTGTCAAGTAATATAATGAATTTTTTTTAATACTAAATTTACTATAATTAATCAAACAAATTCATTGTAATTCACGAGAATCAAGTTTTTATGAAATAATTATTCAGTTTCCTTATGAGAAATTCATTGGGTGATTTGCAGCACTGGTAATAATTTGGACAAATAAACCCGCCAAAAAGAAAAACGCGGCAATCATTCATTGCAGGTTAAAAGGTTCATTTAGTTTGTGAAAAAATCCAATCATAATTTCCATTTACGTTATAAAATATCCCACACAAATTAGCTATAAAAATTAACAGTCCTAAACTTTACCCGCAGTTTGGGAGGCTAAATTGCACGCGCCGTGAAACGAAGTGAGAGAAAACATTATAGAAGATAACGTAGTTAGGGAACATAACAAAACATTAAAATCTATTTTTTAATGTTTAAAAATAAGGAAACAGAGGTTTGGAACATAGATAGGTTCGGAGTTGAGGCATGGGAAGGAGAGAACCAACGCAGTAGTAGTGAGTATAAAGTGGATATAGAAAGAGAAACGGAGAGGTATTTGTGTTGTTCGAGTACTGTCTCTGTATCTCTACAGAGAAAGAGAGAAAAAGCAAAAGGTGATAGAGAATCTGAGTATGTGTGTTTTGAATTGGTAACAAAGATAGAAATTTCAACTTCACTCAATACCATCATCAAATATAAAATCACAGAGACAGAGAGAGAAGAGATCACTCTTCATCGACTTTTGATTTCTCTCTCTCTCTCTCTCTCTCTTTCTTTCTTCTCTGTTCTCTTGATCAGGACAATGTTGATGAGTTGAATTGTGAACTTTGTCTCTGGTGGGGAATTGAGAGGTCAGCTTGCGGTTCGGTTAGTGTCTGGTGTTGTTTGTTATGGCGGCATTGTCGTTTTCAGTGGTATCCGTGGTGGAGGATGTGCTTCAACAGCATGGTACTCGTCTCCAAGATCTTGATTTGGAATCTAGAAAAGCAGAAGAAGCTGGTAATTTCGGAATTTCCCATTTGGGTTTTTTTTTGTGAAAATACAGTTTTGGAATTGTTGGTTGTATGTGTTTTTCATTGTGACAAGTCTCTTATATGTGTTGTTGTATCTTATACTTTCTCCTACATCTATAATCTAATTTGTGAAATGCTATTTTTTTAATTGCTGAAAATGATGGGAAAAGCTTTAGGAAGGTTATTGCTCCGGGTGTAATTGTCATTTTTTTTCCATGAATGTGTCTAATTATCATTTTTTTCCCCCTCTGATAGTTGCTTTTACTGAAGGTTGATGGCTTGATGCATATCAATTTCTTGTAAAAATGCTATCTGGATTTTGTATCAGTTACCCCGAGACTGAAAATGTTTAATATGCAGCATTCAGAAGGTATGAAGCAGCAGGGTGGCTAAGAAAAATGGTTGGAGTTGTTGCGGCTAAAGATTTACCAGCAGAACCCTCTGAGGAAGGGTTTAGGCTTGGTTTGAGAAGTGGTATCATCCTCTGTAATGTTCTTAACAAGGTTCAACCTGGTGCTGTACCCAAGGTGAGCTTGATCCTAATTTGATTTATTCTAGTCTTTTAGTAATTGTTTATTTGCTAATGTAAGCTCTGTGATTTTCTTTAAGGTTGTCGAGAGTCCTGTTGATTCTGCACTTATCCCTGATGGAGCACCATTATCGGCATTTCAGTATTTCGAAAATGTGAGGAATTTTCTGGTGGCTGTCCAGGAAATTGGAATTCCTACCTTTGAGGCATCTGATCTGGAACAAGTATGTAAAGGACCAGAAACTTCTTACTATTTCGAATTTTTGTGTAAAAAATGCGTCATGGTTAATTGAATTGTTAATAACACAACACCAGATGATCCTTTGGCACTTAATAACATTGCAAACTTCGAAGTTTAACAATGTTTTGTTTTGGTTTTCTGCTAAATCATCGGTTTATGTTTTAGGGAGGGAAATCAGCCAGGATTGTGAACAGCGTCTTGGCCGTTAAATCCTATAGTGAATGGAAACAGTCTGGGGCTAATGGTATGTGGAAATTTGGAGGAACTATCAAACCCACAATGTCTGCAAAATCTTTTGCGAGAAAAAACTCAGAGCCATTTACTAATTCCTTGTCAAGGAACTCATCCATCGATGAAAAATCTTTGACTGCTTTTACCCCGGATGTTGAATCTAATAAAATGGTTAGTAAGCTTTATGTTTTACATTTATACGTACTCCGGATTTGTCTAGTTGAACACATAAAGAATAACTAAATATATATATTTTTTATTTTTATTTTTATGCTTGCAGTCTGGTTCTCATTCTTTGAGTATGCTTGTTCGTGCAATACTATATGATAAGAAGCCAGAAGAAGTACCAAAGGTGAGGGAATACTAAGAGTGCATTTCAATCTTGTCACTCATAATACTAAGAGTGCCTTAGAGATTATTTTCTTAAAGTGATATTGTTCTTTGCATGGAACAGTTGGTTGAATCCGTCTTGAATAAGGTTGTAGAGGAGTTTGAGCATCGCATTGCAAGCCAGGGTGAACAGGTATGGAACTTTTCACCTTTTAGTAATGTCATTAGTTTTTATGTGATTGGCATTTTATGTTCTTTTTACTTCATTCTTAGAAAAATCTTGTTCTTGCTAAAGTTGAATGTTATGACAAGTTGTGTTCTTGGTTATTTATCTATCACATAACTTGCAGACGAAAATAACTTTAACAGATGCTGTGTCTCAAAGCAATGGATCTGTATCGAAGTTTGTTGGGGCAAATAAAAAGGTAATAATATTATTCTCATATTAACATATTCTAGGACCTTCATGAAACTTTAAAATGCTTGAATTCTTATGCTCATCTAGTTTTTGATTGATTAGTTGGATAACAAGATTCCTATGGTAACAAAGAAAGAGAAGTTCATCCATAAAAACCGTGTTGCTGATGAGGAATCACAAAGGCAACTTCTGAAGCACAAAATGCTCTTTGACCAACAGCAAAGAGATATTCAAGTAGGGAGCTGCTAAGATAGTATTAATCATTTTAACTTTGCAATTTTTCTATTAATTAGTAAAATATTACCATCCTTATGTCTTTGTAGGAACTAAAGCATACAATTCACATCACAAAAGCTGGTATGCAGTTCATGCAAATGAAATTTCATGAGGAGTTCTCCAATCTAGGTAATATTTTGGTAACAATTTGTGAAGTTCTTTGCTCTATTGTTTCATTCCTTTCTATTTTTCCTTATCCTTGGTGGATGAGATGCTCTATCTTATTTGATTTTCCATTTTTTATAGGCACACACATTCATGGCTTAGCTCATGCTGCTTCTGGATATCATAGAGTTCTTGAAGAAAATCGCAAACTATACAATCAAGTCCAGGATCTTAAGGGTAAGAAGATTACTGGTTGGCTGACTGCTTTAAGCCTATCTCCCATTCATGCCTTTGTAAGGATTTTATCCCAAAATAAAATTAAGGGTTTAATTTTGTTTGATCAGGAAGTATTAGGGTGTATTGTCGAGTAAGACCCTTCTTACCTGGACAACCAAATAATTTTAGCACAGTGGATAATATAGAAGATGGAACTATCACAATTAATATTCCATCAAAGAATGCGAAAGGGCGCAGATCCTTCAACTTCAACAAAGTCTTTGGACCATCTGCAGCCCAAGGTTGGTTTGGTTTTCTGTTTCATTTATCTCCAGGATTATTATATTTTAGTATTTTATTAAAAAAAAATTCTTGTCGTGTTCAGCGGAGGTCTTCTCTGACATGCAGCCACTCATTAGGTCTGTTCTTGATGGTTATAATGTTTGCATATTTGCTTACGGCCAAACAGGATCAGGAAAAACTTTCACTATGGTAAGATACTCTTAAAGTTGTCACCTTAAAAAACTTATTTTTGATGATATTTTTCTAATTAAAGTTTTTTACTTGTAGACTGGACCAAAAGAGATCACAGAAAAAAGCCAAGGTGTAAATTACAGGGCTCTAAGTGATTTGTTTCTTACAGCAGATCAAAGAAAGGACACTTTTCGCTATGATGTGTCTGTTCAAATGATTGAGATATATAATGAGCAAGTCAGAGATCTATTGGTTACTGATGGAACAAACAAAAGATATCCTTTTACGAGTTACCTTAAAATTATAGAATATGTATATAATTGCCTTCAGCTTCTCTTTTCTTTTTTTTAAAAAATATTTGTCAAGCATAAGATGAAAGCAGCCTTTACTGATGATGCTCACCCCTTAACCATTTATACATTAGAAATTCGTAGTAATTCTTATAGAGGGCTCAGTGTACCAGATGCAAGCCTTGTCCCAGTATCATCAACAAATGATGTTATTGAATTAATGAACCTGGGCCAAAGGAACCGTGCAGTAGGAGCAACAGCCCTTAATGATCGTAGTAGCCGATCTCACAGGTATATCCTATTCATTGTCCAGTTATCACTCTTTTTCCTATGGTAGTGTTTTTTATGAAACAGTTAACCATTGGCTTCTGAAATTATCAATTTGGCAGTTGCTTGACGGTTCATATTCAAGGAAGAGACTTGACATCTGGAACTGTCCTACGTGGATGCATGCATCTGGTTGACCTGGCAGGAAGTGAGAGAGTTGACAAATCTGAGGCAACGGGAGACAGACTAAAGGAGGCACAGCATATTAACAAATCTCTTTCAGCTTTGGGTGATGTCATTGCTTCCCTTGCTCAGAAAAACCAACATGTCCCTTACAGAAATAGCAAACTCACACAATTACTCCAAGATTCACTTGGTAAGGTTCAAGAAGTTGATTTTCTAGAAGAGTAGTTGTAACTGTATTTCAGACAGCTATATTCTTTTCCATTCCTGAGTTATACTCTCAAATTTGAACTTGTCATAATGTTGGTTAGGTTTATTTCAGGAGGACAGGCCAAGACACTAATGTTTGTTCACATAAGTCCAGAGGTCAATGCTATTGGAGAAACAATAAGCACCTTAAAATTTGCAGAAAGAGTTGCTACAGTTGAACTTGGTGCTGCTCGAGTAAACAAGGATGGTTCAGATGTCAAAGAGCTCAAAGGACAAGTTGATATTCAAAATTTGACCTATGTTGTTGTTCATAATAATCTTACGAAGTCGTACCACTTCAAGAAAGTTTAACATTAGAATTGTGTTACAGATCGCCAGCCTTAAGGCAGCATTGGCAAGAAAAGAAGAGGGGGAATCAGAACATTCTTTATCTGGCAGCGCTGGAAAATATAGGACAACTAGTGAGCTATCACCTTATCATGCAAACCAGAGGGGGGCAGATATTATGGGTGATCCCCTTGTGTGCCGGCAACCAATGGTTGATGTAGGCAACATAGAGGTATGTATACTTCATTTGCTGGTTGTTCTCTGATGTTGATAAACAATTATAATTTCCCCAATTTTGCAAATGTATAGGAAAAGAGTTACCCCCTTAAATTTTCAGAGTGATATTCAGAAATTTTAGAATGTAAGTCCTGATATGATTTTGGAATAAAGGCATGTTTGTTAATAGTACAATGAGATCCTCAAAATCTAGTTTTATGGACTCAACTCCTTATATGGTTTAGGAAAAAAATTCATATGTACCAATAAAAATGGATGGATCCTCAAAATAGTGGTTTCTATTTATTTTAATGCTGAATGTTTTCAACTTTTGCCACAAACTGGCATAGTGGGCTAATTCAAGCATGAAATCAGAGACTATTTATTGTTTAAATTATATTGCAGGCATTTTACTTATCTATTGGCTGGAGGGACTATGAGTGCATAGCATGCAAAAATATATCATGCAAAATTTGTTTGATTATTGCTATTCCTTGTTGAACCCTGTTGGAATTCTAACCATTGATCCTCCAGCTTCACAGTAATACCACATTGAGGCAAAAAACTCAGAGCTTTGATTTTGATGAGATATCAGCAAATTCACCACCATGGCCCCCGGTGAATAGTCCTGGACAAAACTATGGGGAAGATGATAAAGAAACTGGTTGTGGAGAGTGGGTTGATAAGGTCATGGTGAACAAACAAGATGTAAACAAAACTGAAAACATCTTAGGGTGTTGGGAGGCAGACAATGGGAACTTATCCGAGGTCTTTTATAAGAAATATCTCCAAGATTCTTCTAAAATATACTCAGAACAATCCTACAATACATTCATGGGAAGCAACCAGTTTAACGTTGCTGGTTCAGATGAAATGGATGATCTTGATGCCGCAACCAGTGATTCCTCGGAACCTGACGTACTTTGGCAATTTAATCATTCCAAACTTGCCAGCGTAGCCAATGGAAATGAATCAAAATCTAGGAGACCTGTCTCAAAGTCAGCCAAAAACCCAGAATTGAGGTAATGCAAAAATGGTCTTATTTGAGATTTATGTGCAAATAGCTTCACTTCAAATAGGTTCTTTCTCTTTTCGTTTTTAGATATTAATAATTTTTTGCAATTTTTCCAGCAAGAATATTATTCATTCTTCTCTTGGTCCTTCACCTTCACGGAAACAATCAAATGCTGTCTCACATCGAACAGGAAGACATCCAGCTCCAGTTGAAATGAAACGTAAAACTGGTAATAGAAAGTGAACATGTTGTTACTTGTAAGACACGTCAAAAGTCAAAAGGGAGGTTTTTTTTTTCTTTCCTTTTTATTTTTTCAATTTTTAGTTCAAGGAGAGAGAGCTTTTGCAATAATTTTTCTTTCTTTTTACCTTATTGGTTTATGTTTGAGTTTTGTAACTTGTATTTACACAGATAATGGAGCAATAATGCTGTTGCTTGTACCAAGGGTCCTTGGCATTCTTTCATTTTACACTATAGCTTGCTTTTTAGGTGATGTAAAAATTTCAAAACCCCAAACTCTTTTTCTGCAATGATCAAAGTTGCAAAATGGTCTGATTTGCAACTTCTGGTCAAGTCTATTTCCTTATCTCCTCTGTTGGTTTTTCTTTCCCGACTTTTCTTTCCTCTTTCCCGACTTTTCTTTCCTTCTTTCTTTTTATTGTTTGATTTCAAAGTCATACATGACGACTGTGAAGCAATAATAAATCGGAGATGAATTTAATTTATATGTATTCTCGGTGAGCAAAATTACATTGATGTCTTATCGTATTATTTAGTAAGTTTCAAAATACAAGAATTGTCAAAAAAAATTAAACGAGGGTGTCAACACACCATTAAATAACAATATAAGATAGGATACCAAAAAAAAAATAATAACAATATAAGATAAGATAAGTGATTAAAAAAAGTATTGGGTGTTAAATGATTTTGGAGTAAATCTTGGAGGAATTTTTGAACTTTTTTCTATTTTTTATACTAATTCTGACCAAAATTAAACTTATAAAATATATCCCTGTGATAAGCAGATTTCTTACCTCTATTTATTTTTGTTGAGAGTTAAGTTTATACATAAAATTTATGTAGTAAAATATTAAAATTTATATTTATGAAATAATTTTGATAAGTGATTATTTAGATTTGATTATAAAAATTACTTTTAATAGAAAAATATTAATTATTATACATAATTAATTAATTAGTTATGCACGCACCTAATACGTACAAGATATAAGCATTAATTAGATAAAATATTTTAAAATAATATTACGCTTTTTTTTTAATTTGCAATTAATAGAAATTTTTTGAGTGGTAGATAAAAGTGGGGGAATTTTTTATTTTATTTATTATTTTTTACATAATGGTTTATTAGGTCAAACTATCTTTAAAAGATTCTCCGAATAGATCAACTCCGCATAAATTCTTTTTAAGAATGGGAAGCTCACATTCATAAGCGTCATAATTGTACCAGTACAGTCTTCCCAGATTTGGTGGGATACTAATATCTAACTTTACTTAAACCTTTAGCTTTATAAAAAAATAATTGTACCAGTACAATAATAATAATATTTTATCAGAGTTTAGATTCCTTGCAAAGAATAAATTTTTGGTGTACCCGTGCATTTTTACTAGGATATTTAGACGAATTCTATGTAAATTTTTAAAACCCCACAATCTACCTACTATTCTAATAAAAATATATTACCGTCGCACTAAATTCACTATAACGAGTGCACCTTAAATTTCCCCCCTTATAAGTTACTAGCTATTTGAAAAATCATGCAATCATATTAAATGATAGAACATGCCACTAGATTTCATGAATGATCATTATTTTTTTGCATGCTAGATGTGAGTTGTCATAGATGGAATTAATGGTGACACGGAAATAGACTTGCCAGTGGAAGGATATTAGGTACAGATAAGAATGACTGTCCAGCAATGGGAAAATGCTTGAAATGATTCGAGACCACTCACACGACATTTTGGACAGGAATCTTTCAACCTTGATCATCGAAAGAACTCCCGTGACTCGTATCAATGTTTAAGGTTGTACTTTGTCATAACAGCAAAATAGCATCCTAAAATTCAAAGCTAATAAATATCATTCATGCGTTTTGATATGCAACATCAAGTAAATCAGCAGAAGCAATAAACATATGAACAACATTTTCTATGCAACAACAATAAAATACTTCCTGTTAAAAAAAAAAAGAAAAAAAGATAAAAGTAATATAAATATATTACTCTTTGTCATATGTAATAAAAGAGATACCAAATACTTGATATTTCCATAACACTGAAAATATTTTCATTAACATGAACACGAGATTAATCCATTGATCTAACACGACTATAATTAAGCAAAGAAAACTATAGCTTTGTCAAAACCAGCACACTGCACACTCTCTCAATGGCCTGCCATTACTACAAATCAATATAGCAATCCACATTATACATGACTCTCCACATTATACATGGTAAGTTGAAAGCAGATAGGTCTTAGGCTGTACACCAACATAAGAAAATTCTTGTACATGAATGAAGAAATTGAGGCTGTACATAAATATACTAATTGAAATTGACACCATACGACTTTTCATAAACAGATAAAGGAAGGTACATTAAAATGTTGGAGAGAAAGAACATCTTTACATCAAGAATTTCCTTTTATTGGAAAATTGTAATGAAGAAGTTCTTGATGGAATATGAATTTTGTGTCTCATGTACAGGTTGAATCAAAGGAATGACTAGATTCTTGGAGATGATGATCTCATGCGCTTGAGACATAACTAGACGATGGATATAGGGAAGAAAAGCAAGAGGAAAAGTTTGAATATGAGCTCTGCAGATCAGGACATGGCTCCGGAAACACCTCCTCAGAGAAACCCGTTATATTAGAACAAAACCATAAAGGAGATGACTCAGAACTGATAGAAAAAGTCACGTTTAAAAGACAGATAGATGTGAATGGTGAATCAACTAGTCCTGAAAAATTCCCAGCAATAGCAATATTTGCGCCAATCACATTCTTATAAGTGATGCTACTAACGACTGGAACAGCACTAGGATCATATTTGTCATCTGGATGGGAACCATAGTATCCCGTCATGCTGATACCCAAGTAAATATTTTCCAAATTTGCATCAGAAATGAATATATCTTTCATATAGCCACCTCTACCCTTAGTTGTCTTCAGTTCAATGCCAATACTAGAGTTGATAATATGGAGCCGCTCTGCAGTTACATCAGATATACCTCCAGACATCTCACTTCCAAATGCTAGGCCAGCACCTGATGATGATTGTAGGTAGACACCCTTTATGTGCACACTCGAGGTTGGTTTGCCATAGGCAACTCCGTACTGATCCCAACCACTCTTCAGCACAATTGCATCATGACCAGTGCTAATATTGCTGTTGCAAATGCAAATGTACTCAGAAGAATCTGCAAGTGGCTAATATTAATGAGATTCATAATGCCAACTTTTATTTTTTTTTTCACAGAAAAGCAATGTACATGAAATTATCACATGACTAAACCACACGTTGAATATTGGAATATAATGAGAAACACCTTTTAGAAATGTGGAAACAAAATCAGAAGATTTGTGGAAGGGAATAATCAAATAAAAAAATTCAGAAAGCCAAGCTTTCTGAAATCATATTTAGAATTGTTACTGCTTGCCAAATAGAAGAATTAGCTAACTAAATCATTTCATGATTCACAGGTGTGCGGGTTTTGTGCAGTATCGTGAATCAGATATGTGACAACTAACAACTCCTCAATTTACCTGGAACTATACCACTTGTGTAAGGGGATTCAGCAGGTGCATGAGCTGTTATGTTCTGAATTTGTACGTTGCTGCATGCATTGTGTAAAAAAGATACATATAAAATAGAGCACTTCCATTTTAAGAAATAAGAGTGATCACAAACATGAGCCACTTGTACCTGCAATATACCGGATGGATGCCCCAAGCAGGAGAGTTTAAAAATGTCAAATTTGAGATTATAATATCGTTAGAACCAATGAGTTCTATAATATGTGGTCTGCTATAATTTAAGGAATGAGAATTGATCAGGTCCCACCAGACAGAACCCTGGCCATCAATAGTTCCATTATCACCTGATACATTTATTAAATACATCAATTTGAGTATGGCAGCACAGCAATGCTCACTCTATCCAATAAATACTTCAACAAAGACAATATTGTAATGGAATAATATCCCTGCCTGTAATCACCACATCACTTAAATTCTGTCCATAAATCAAGCTGCGATATCTCTGACCCGGAACGTCAATTCCTCTCCCATACGAAGGTAGGGGATCCACGACACTCCACTGTGCATAATCCTGAAATGATAAAAAAATAAAAAGAACATGTGTAATTTTCAAAAGTAAGTAAAATTGGTGTTTCACTAAATATAGTTCATTAGTAGTTCCTTCGGTAGGTTGCAGAAAAATCACTTCATATACACTTTTTATGCTCGTAAGCAGGATAACAAGATTATGAAACTTTTAAACAATGGCATTAAAGAAGTCATTCCATTTTTCCTTTCACTGCTCCTTTACTGTTATATATGTATGTAGACGGCCAAATGAACTGATTACGTGAGTTTCCCACCCTGATTGAATTTCCAGTGAGTGAGACAGTTTTGATGGAGTGCGAGAAACAAATCTGTTTGGTATCCCTCACTTTTTTTAATGAAACAGGCAAGGTAATTAGGTTAAAGATTTAAAACCTGTGATGCAATGATGGTTGCGCCTCTCTCAAGGAAGAGGGTGAGGTGGCTAGTAAGGTTAAAACTTCCCGTAAGCCATCTGCCAGATGGAACATATAGTTGAGCACCACCTTTATCAGCAAATGACTTGGCATAAAAAATTGCATTTTGGAATGCAACCGTGTTCAATGTTTTTCCATCTCCAACTGCCCCAAACTCCAAGATTGACACACTGTGAGGCCTAGGATCCAATGCATTCTGTTTACATGGTCCACGATCATCTTCTCCATTGCTTTCTAGAGCAATGCTTAATGCTAAAAGTACAAGCACAATTACCTAGAAGAAAAGAGAAAGGGAGAAATTTTAAAGTAGAGGACTAGCTGCATAAGAATTGTAGAGAGGGGAATGTTGACACCAGAACAGAAGATATTACTAAATTTAAAAGCAGTGAGTCATCAAACTTCCAAACAATAAAATAGTATCTTGAAGCTCAAAACAAATATTCCATTTCAGCTTTTGCTTGAAGAGGTTTTGCCTTTGGCCCAGAGAACCAAGCCATTGCTAGTTAAAAGTAATCGGTCCGGACAAGAAGAAAGGGAAAATAATTTACAAAAAACAAACCGATAGAAGATGCAATGTGATATTACAGGTATGAACACTTCCTATTTTCAAAAAGCAAGCAACCAGGGATACTTTTGAAACACCATAACAAATAACGACCTACACTTAAATCAGAGATCTTGCAAGGAGAATATTATACTTAAAATAATTAAAATAGGATTATTAGAAACTAAATTAAACATGTAATTCAAGCAAGCAAACCATTAATAGAAGATTTCCAATTTGATACTTTTATCAAGAGACCAGAAGAAAGCAATAAATCATAAATGTTGACTAAAAAGAGATCTCTAGACCCATTTTCAGAGACAAGAAAACAATGTCTCAACCAACCTGCCACAATCACCAATCTATATTCACTAATTTTGTTTCCGCAAAAACCATTTTAAAAATCACTGTTGACAACAAGGAATTGACAGTAATTCATGATTGAAGCCCAAACATTATTACACAATATAACCTTCGAAGTCACTCCAAAAGCTAAAACAAACATCAAGATCAATTGTGGGTATTGGTGTAAAATAAACAAAAATATTTTGAAAGCTGCAACAGAATTCCAAACAAATGAACCTCCAGTGAAAAAAATATATATATCTTTTTTTTTTTTGTTGGCTCTTTAACTTGTTAACAACGTACTTACTAGCCTCTTCATGGGGGTGTGTTCCCCTCTTCTTCAACCCCAACAAAGTGAAACAGCAACCTCTCTAAAAGCAGAGCAGGAACAAGAGGATGGAGTGAGGAAGAGGGTAGAAGTAGAACAAGAACAAGAACACAAGGACAGAACAACCTTGGTGCTGTCTCGTATATAATGCCAACCAAAGTAATAGAAACAATAAAACAAACGAGGGGAGGTAATTGAAAGCGACGGCTATCAAGGAAAATGCCAGCTCTGATATTCATTTACCTTATTTATGTGTATTAAACAATTTTCCACGCATTCAACAAGGACAGTGTAATATTAATAACAATATTTCTAAATTCTTAATTTCCCATGAAAATCTCAATTTGAGGTTCCCTCTTGCCGACATAAAAACCTTTGGACACGGCCCAAGGTTATCAAATGGAGATTGGAGAGGGTCAATGTGCTTTCGAATTGTAAGAGAAATAATATTTTATGCTCATTGTTTTGGTTAAATGTGGAAACTAAATAATTACGTGATTCTCGCTTAAGTGACAATTTGAGCTAGTGACAGGTCTGATCAGTTTTTCTACCTCCCTTAATCATTGCTCTTATATATTATACTTTGGAAATGCTACTAGCGAATACCTTATTTGTTTTAGAATCAATTTTTGTTTTTATTTGATTTAACAATTCTCATAAATGAAAGGGACGAAAAAAACAAAAATGAAAAAATCTAGAATGTAATAATTGAGAGTTGAAATATTCAGATTTTATTTTGTGCTTGTAAACTCGTGAATGAATTTTTGGTTTGGTAAGTCTAATTAATATACAAATATAATCTTAAAAAACTGAAGTTTAAGTGGTTCCCTTTTTTTTTAATTCTCTTTTGAGAGTTGCTTTATTTGAAATCTGCATCTAATTAAGTTGTTTTGCCTGTAGTTTGTATTTTCTTTCCAACACATGTCATTTAACTTCACAATGCATGAAGGAGTGATCAAATAATAGTAACTCAGTTGGTGTTAGGGAACTGAGTAGCTGAAAAAAAGAGTATAGGTTTGATCATTCCCAATATCATCTTTAGAGGGAGTTTATAGCATTAATCTTGAGACTCGTCTTAAATCGAACTAGTGACAAAGTGATAAATCGATTGAAATATCTCTAAAAATAATACACCATGTGTAAAGTATTGGACACTTTCGATAAGGGTTTAAAGTTAATTTTTGTATAAAATGAAAAGTTAATTACTTAAGGATTTAAAGTTTCTAAAATTAGTTGTAGATAACTTTATCTAATGTTTACCAAAATATACACATAAAAATGTGTGAAATTCATGTTTTATTTTATTTTTTTCTTTTCTCTTCACATTGGTCTATATGGACCCTGTATATTTTTTTTTGTATATTTTGATGAACACTAGATAAAATTATTTATTTAGAAACTTTAAACCCTTAGTTTAATTATCAAATCATATTATCTTATTTTAATCATCTTGTACATCAAATTTTACATAATTTGAATATTTATAGGTGTATAATTTAATAATTAATAATTATTTGTATTTTAAAGAGAGGGAGGGGGCAGGGGATCAATGTAGCAATCAAGGCTACTTGGAGATGTATAAAGGGACCTAATCCCTTCAGTTCACCATTCTCCTAGGTTCTTTTAATTTTATTAGGCTAGATTCAATATCAATTCTATTATGTATTTTTATCTTTCTATTGCAACAAATCATTTGTTACTAGTAGGGAGAATTGTAATTAAAGGGATATGAATGATGAAATTACTCGATTTTCTCTACCCTGGATTCTCTCACTCGCTTTCCCCCAATTCTTGCCTCCCAAAATCATGTATATTCCCTAATTTTTCTCCCTTATCTCTAATCTAATTTTTGTTTCCCCTTCATGCAAATCTTCCTCAATCATCTCATTTGTTTCTTCAATCTTTTCCTTCTTCTCACTCTTTTTACATTTTCTTCTAATTTATTAAAATATCCGTTACAATAGTGCATTCATCAACCACTCTTTCTCCATGCTAGAAGCACTAGCATCTGTGCTCTTCGAGAACCAATCTATGATATCTCAACCTTGAAAAAATTTATAATACGACCGTTGTATTTACGATAAGCTAATAACATTAAGCCACATCAGCAATTTTTTTTAAAAAAAGAGAATAAAAAAAGTTACTTTTGTATTTTACACTAATTCTTAGTAATCGGACTTAATCTAAAATATATTGTCACACCAAATTCTTAATACTACCGTTATACCCAAAATGCTCTCCGACCTCAACCTCACTCTCCACAACAGAAACTCTTATCCATCCAACACCGTAGGAATTATCGCCCCTGGAAGCAACAATTGATCATAATTCAACTAATAAGAATGCAATTTTTTTTTATATCGACTCTAATTATTATTTTGAAGCGAGTCAGTCATGATATCCCACAAACTTTACTTTATTTGAGTTAATTTTTTTTATTTTTCTTAAAGAAATATTTAATGGAAATTCATTTCATTTTTTTTTTTTTTTGATAACAGGAAATTCATTTCTTTATCTAGGTGCACTCCACTTCGACCGCGTCGAGACTTTCATATATGCGTGGCATTAAATAACATTTTTAATGCTGGAGTTAGTACTGGCCTTCTTCCCAATGTCATCTCATGCCTCCAAATTCCGGCATCACAGATCCAATAGCTGCCACTGGTGGTCTTCATTAAAGGTATAGACAATTTCATACATTCATTATTTATAAATTTATGAATTTATGATATGTAAATTTCATTATAGAATATGATAACAATGTAAATTTTTTTACGTTCACAATAATATTTAATTTGAATTTATGAAATAATGGAATTATGTGTTACAAAAGTTTTAATGATGTTTCGCATTTTTTAAGCATATGTGATGATATTAATTGTAATTTAATAGGTGGAATTCAACTTTCACTCCCATGTGACAAAGTATCGTTTTACTTTGCCCTCTTTATATCCTTTGATTTGTAACAATCGTGTAATCTAACATTTCACTATCTCCAAGTCAAGATGAAACCAACTTTCATACTCATCTTGTTTTAATTTGCCCTACCCTCATCTTCCGCTCTGTACTTATTCGTAACAAACATGTAATCTAACAGTTCAATATCTCCAAAGTCAAGATGTAGCAATTGTTGATGAAGAATTTTAGGTAGAGAAGATTTATCAAAGAAAATATTAGGGTCCTACTAACATCTAGAAAGCGATTGAATATTATTTTTTTCAAAAAAAAAAAAAAAAAATTCCGGTTGAAGAAAGTGTTTATTACATTACTCCTTTGTGATTTAGTATTTTTTTTTCATGACATTTAATAGGCCTAACATAAAATAGCTCGCTTGGACAAGCATTGGCAGATATTTGTTGGGCAATTGAAAGCTAAATGCAAGTAACCATACTTTTCTGTGTTGATTTTTTATCCACCTAGTAACCAAGTGATATTTTTGCCCCATATGAAATCAACCATAAAAATCATTGAACATTATTACATCATATTATATTTTTTATAATTATGGTCAAGATAAGAGAATAATGAAACTTTTCGAAACTTGAAGAAAAAAGTTTTCAGAACTTTGGAGAATAACTCTGTATGATGGACTGGGAAATTAAAAAAAAAATACTATAACTTTTAAATATTTTAAATAAAAGAAACACATATAATATAATATATAATTTTAATTTTTGAATAAATAACATATATTCTTCACGGTGGGCAATCATGTTCAGGGCTAATCCAGAATTAAGATTTTAAATTTCTCCAAAAAATAATATTAGGAAAAATCGAACACATACTCTTGTTCCTATCTATTCAGCTCCTATACCTAATATAATATATCATAATAAGATTATCATAAAAATCTCTAATAATTGATTAATTCTGAATGAATATTTATTATGAATATAAAGTCAAAATGGAAATAGTACTGACATTTAAATGAGTTTTTTTTATTACATGTTTGCGATTTATTATAGAATCATTCTCATTTATTTATTAAATTGCTTAAATTCTATACAAATTTTCTCTACATTGTTCTACAATTATTACACAAGAATATAAGAGCGGGACCCGCAACAATAATGTGTGGAAAATGCTAGGGTGGCATTACTTGGCTTGCCAGATGAGAAGTACATGGGGGTCTCATTGACGGGTCCCACAAATATCATTCTTAATGAGTTTTTTTAATTTTTTAGATACTCCCAACAGTGTATATTATTGAAACGCACCTTATGAATAAAAAAACAAGAAACCATCCTTTTCTGAAGCCTAAACAAATGTAATGTTATGTACCACTGTCACGTTAGGTTCCCTCTTGAGAACCATTTTACCCTCTTTCCACCGATTCATGAAAAATACCAAAAACAACTTACTCCGTTTTCCTTCCTTTTCACTTTCTCACTTTCCCTGCCTAGTAGCTAGTTGTAGTTGTAAAACAGGGAAATAAAACTCAAAGAAACAAATCGACTTTACGGTATGATTAGAACTTATAGAAGTCTAACTGTTTTATTCCCTTCAATATTTTTTATTTTTTTAAAAAAAATTCCCTTCAATTTTATCCATCTTAATAGATTTTGCATAAAATTTATGTTGATTTCATTGATTGCTAAATGCGTCTCACATTGATAAGAGAGTAATAACAGAATTAAATGCTAACTACATCAAAAACTAAGCTACCAAACAACATATCATTAAACTCCCTGAAGTAAATGCCCAATTTGCACATTAGAGAGTGAAACCTATTTTTGCCGTGTCATCAAGTTATTGATCAGCGCGCACATAACAATTGTCTTGCAAGATAAAAAAAATACTGGTGATAGATCCGTGAGTAATTGAGCAAACTATTATCATAGTACGCTTAACATATTTTCAACTGAACTGATGTGAAATTCGGATGATCAAACTTTGATCTAATAAATTTTACATGAACTATAGTAGCCAAATGAGACAGGAGAAGTAAGAAAGTCCTTATGATAATTGACTGCTGATAAGTGGTTGCGGTGATGATAATTTGGCAGACTCCAAATTTTAATGAAATTATTTTGGAATATGACTATGAGAGTGGTAGGTGCAGTGTGGCGTGTAGAGCAACTCCACACTAGTGACACCACATGTGCACCGCTTTAAATCTGATGCGGTACAACGCATTTAAGGCATATTGTCTATTGTAAGTTGTAACTACGATAATGTGGCCTTTTTGTCCTTATATATAGTCTTTTACAGGTGCCGTTGTTAATTGCAGAGACTATTTTGGTGATTCTTTGCAGCAATGTCAGGGCCCCATCCCTCTGGAGAGAAAGAATCCAAGGGTCTGCATTTACCAACTCAATCATGATGTACGTGATGATGCCCCTTCAATTAATATTCTAGGCTTAAATAAACCAGAGATTCATATGTTATATATATATATATATATATATATATATATATATATATATATATATATAATGGTTGCTAGATTGAATTATTAGAAAGATATAACCTTTCTGAATCGGAGTGATTATATTATCTTTGATCTGGTATGATCCAATTTTTTGTTTAATTGCAGATGGAATTGCATTTAATTCTTCTTTTCTAAATCTTAGATAAGCTGCAACAACAGTTGAGTGCAAAAGTTTTTTGATATTTTTAATGAATAAAAAAGTTGTTCTATTTTAATATTAGGACATGTCATAATCCTTACATAGCCAAGCTAGTTTCAATTTCTTAAAAAGGTTTTTTATTTCATAAAACGTAATTCTCTAATCAAAATTTGTCCTTCGACTAACAACGAAAACTGAATTATGGAATCACTGTGGAGCAATGGCCCCCACTATGCCACTATACACAACGCTTGTGCAAATGCTCGAGTAAGACTTAAAAAGTGAATTTTTGGTTGCAAAAACCGTGAAGGGAAGGACCATTCTCATGCAAACAGCAAGTCGCGATTGCTTATGAAAGGGAGCTGAAATTCATCGTGCGAATAGCTTTCGACAAGAATGTGCATTATAGGCATGCGGACAGTTTAAAAGCGAATGACATGAAGTCATGATGATGATGAGGTGCACCTTATATAGTCAAAATTGTCTTGACGAACTGCATAGAATCCTATACAAGTGAAGACAATTCATAAGAAAAAGCGTTTGCATGATTCTTTGCGATTTAACGTAGCGACAAAGACCAATCTAAATACAAAAAAAAAAAAAAAAAAAAAAAAAAAAGGAATAGGTGAATGACTATAAAGGTAATTTTCTTTTTATTCCTGCAATATGAGTCCAGATAGCATTTACCCATGGGCTGGCTAATTGTTTCATTACCATTGGGCTTTTAAGGCTTGGGCTAAACTAGTGGTCCATTTTCATGTTTTTAATGGACACGAAAGAAAAATCGTACAATTGAAAAATACTGTGATGTCTGCTTTAAAAATAAAATAAAAAATGCTGGTTCCAAGAAGACTGCGGCGTTAAGTGCCCTTATTGGCTATTGTTTCATTAGTTGAAAAGCGTAGGTGAGCTTCATTTTCCTTTCCCAGTTGTATTGATCACTCACACACACTATTTTCTCCTCTCAAATGGCGTTGTACGTGCTGTCACGCCGTTTATCAGCTGGATCGACCTCAACGACGGCCCTCGCCTTGCGTTTTGTTACATCTTCCAGATCCTACTCTTCCTCTTCCTTTAGGGAAGAAAGAGATACCTTCGGACCCATTCAAGTTCCCTCTGACAAGTTCGTTCCTTATCCTTTTCCTTTCTTCTTCCTCCTTCATCCTTTTTTTTTTTCATCATCTAATAACTCTCTTGTTTTTTCTGTACCGTTAGATTATGGGGAGCACAAACTCAGAGATCGTTGCAAAACTTCGATATCGGTGGGCCCCGCGAACGCATGCCTGAACCTATCATTCGCGCCTTCGGCATCTTGAAGAAATGCGCTGCTAAGGTTTTTTTTTTTTTTTTTTAAAAATAATAATTATTATTAGTTATTTCGTCGTGGATTTCCACATAATTGTCTGTTTTAAAGAATTATGGAATTTAAATTCTATCATCCTCATTCAATTACTCAATTGTTGTTGTAATATAGGTGAACATGGAGCATGGTCTTGATCCAAACATTGGGAAAGCAATAATGCAAGCAGCACAAGAAGTAGCCGAGGGAAAGCTAAATGACCATTTTCCCCTCGTTGTATGGCAAACTGGCAGTGGCACTCAAAGTAACATGAATGCTAATGAAGTTAGTACTTTATACTGTTTTTTTGTTCTCGCTCCTGCTTACAGAAATATTACGCCACTCATTAAGGATCTAAGTTTAGTGGACTTGTGATAATAAAAATCCATCTTTATTATATATTCTATATAATTATGCTAAAGACTTGAGAATCCATTTAGTATTTTTTTTTTCTTTTTCCAAGGACTATATCTGAAGTAATATGTTCCCAATTTTTGTTTTGTCCTGACTTTGCGGTTAATCTAATTTACTGCAGTGACCTGTTGTTTAAAAAAGAAAGTTTGTGTTGAACTTTTCAGGTTATTGCAAACAGAGCAGCAGAGATTCTTGGCCATAAGCGTGGTGAGAAGTTTGTGCACCCAAATGACCATGTCAATAAAGCACAATCTTCTAACGATACCTTCCCAACTGTAAGATTGTTTTATATCTTTTGCAATTTCTTCATCAGAAATTTCTTATTAAATTGGCTTGCTATCTGTGTAGTACAATTTCTTGTAAACTGTTTCTAATGCTTTATTTTCCTACTATTTTTTTCTTGTTGCTTAAAAATATATTTTCTTTTTAATCTGTACTTGTTTCCCTCTTTCCAGGTAATGCACATTGCAGCCGCAATGGAAGTAAACTCAAGACTAATCCCCAGCTTGAAAACCTTACATACTACACTAAACTCAAAGGTTTGAATTCTACTTTACTTTTAGACAAGTTATAGTATGTTGTATAGATTACAGTCCCCCTCGTGCTATCTCATGTGTCATCCTGGTTAGAGGGGATTTTGAATGATTTGCGTTAGACCTGACATGCTTTTTTCCATACTACATCAAAATTTGTGATATAAATATAAAAATTGTGACGGTTTAATATATTGTTCAGTTTTGTCTGTTTATTGTATGGTTTTAGCCATTTTCCAACACCAGTACGAATATATTCAACACAAGGCTCCCTTGGTTGAATTCTGGCATGATAAATTTATCTAATTCTATTCTTAGCTAATGGTTTTCTCTGGCTCTTTCTCTCAATTTTCCTTTTGGTCTATCAAGTATGCAATATGCATTTGCAAATAACTAATGACTTATTGTTACAGGAAACATGCTAGAGACCTTTTAACTTCGATAACATCTTTATTTCTCTTGGCCTCTAAGATGGAATTTTATAAACTGAACGAAGTTGGCTTTGTAATTTATTTATTTTTTAAATGACATTTATCATCATTCACTATCTTTGTTTTTACTACTATTAATTTGTTTTCTTGCCTTTTAAAAAAAAACAAATTACCAGTCAATTGAATTCAAAGATATTGTCAAGATTGGACGCACTCATACTCAAGATGCAACTCCTTTGACTCTTGGACAGGAGTTTAGTGGGTATACTACACAAGTAAGCTTACTTTCATTTAGCTTATGCTGTTGTTTACTCTGTTTATTATTGGTGAATGCGTTGTAAAATCCTGACAATTTGTGGGGAGTGATTTCTCATTACTTTTTCCTTTAATCGGCAGGTGAAATACGGTATTGATCGGGTGATTGGTACTTTGCCACACATGTATCAGGTTAGACACTCAATACAAACGTTAACTGCTTGTTCTTCACTCATTTGCTTTTGGAGTTCTGACTGAGTAGAGTTGTTACTTGACCAGCTTGCTCAGGGCGGTACAGCTGTAGGGACTGGATTGAATACAAAGAAGGGGTAGGTATGCTTTTTGGTAGCTAAGTTGTTATTCTTCTTTTATTTTATTGTATTGTTTTTGTACGTTGGTATTTGATGTCTACCTAAATGAGTATGATATCCACTTTCTTTTTATTACTGTTGGCATATTATTCCATTTGATATGAACTTTTCATCAGCCATGGTCTTGTTTCTTACTATCATCCAAATTCCAATACCAAAATGTAATGGACATTTCCTGGACGGATTTGCATGCATGTTTTCTCCCATTAGGTTTTAATTTTCCTCGTGCGAAAAATTAGTAAGACCATACTTAATGAAGTGGGAAATAGATTGGTGTATCATCTGTCTTTATGTTAGATTGGAAGAAAGCCATTCGCATTGTGGAGGGTTAGATTTTTTTCTGTATATTTTAGATGACCCTTTTTAGTCTTTTTTTCTTATTTATTTTTTTCCTTTTTCCGCAATTTGTTCTTGCTTTTCTTTTTCTTTTATTCTTTTTTTTTCTTTTTGGTTTGTCTATTGTTGAGCACAATTAGTTTGGGATAAAATTGATGTTGATGCTGGCAGACGTGATTTATAAAAGTTAACGTCAATTTCTCTAGAGATCTTATCGATATGAGTTTATTTTATTATGAAAATAAATATCCTAGGCCTGCTTTTCAGGCCTAAGAAAACATTTGTGGTTTTACTTCTTAAAGAAATAAATTTGGTTAAGCAGTGGTAATTTTCTGGATCATATTCAGGTTCGATGTTAAGATAGCAGCAGCAGTAGCTGAGGAAACAAATCTGCCTTTTGTCACAGCAGAAAATAAGTTTGAGGCTTTGGTTTGTTACTAAAACTTATTTATTTTCCTTGTGTTTAATTTGTCGTATGTTATTTTCATTTCACTAGCTTCTTCCATTAATCTTGCATCGTATGTAGCTGACATTGGCTTGCGGCATGCTCATATTCTCCTTTTGCAGGCTGCCCATGATGCTTTTGTTGGAACCAGTGGAGCCCTCAACACAGTTGCGGCTTCTTTAATGAAGATTGCTAATGATATACGGTTATTAGGGAGGTAGGTTGCTAGATTATGACACTGATTGATATATTTCATTTTGTTTAAAAAATTATTCATATTCTTTCATGGATTTTCTTAATGCTATCCTATTATAGCGGTCCACGTTGCGGCCTTGGTGAGCTCATTCTTCCTGAAAACGAACCAGGAAGCAGTATTATGCCCGTAAGGTCCTCATGCTAAATGAATATATGTTTGTCACAGAACGAGCTGTTTTCTTGTTACATGCTATAGTTTATTATTTTATTTGTCTTACTGTTGGGATTTGACGTTGAGCTACAAAATTATTTTTTTTCAGGGCAAGGTTAACCCTACCCAGTGTGAGGCTTTGACAATGGTCTGTGCACAGGTAGACATCAATTCCCTTCATTTTACTAAAATAATTTTATGTTATGACTAATAGAGTACTAATTAGGGAACAGTTTCTACAACTTGTATTAAAGTCATGTATTTTGAATTTTATGGTAACTCTAGCAATTTCTGAATTGGTGTTAATTTACAAATTTCAGGTCATGGGAAACCATGTTGCGATCACAGTGGGTGGATCAAATGGTCATTTTGAGCTCAATGTGTTCAAGCCAATGATTGCCAGTTGTCTCCTGCATGTATGTTTTGCAGGCTGATCGACCATTTTCCTCCCCTTTTAAAATCAATTTATTACTTTGTCCCCATTCCCAAAATATACCAATTTGCCCTTGTTTGACCAATATTTAACGACACTATTTGACCTATCTCTCAACTTACCTGAGTGCCGGTCAAACATGAGTCAAACAGGGACAGATTAATAAATAATTTGAGAAGAGTGACAGATTGGTACATATTTTGGGAAGGGAGGTAAGGTGGTAATTTTTTTAAAAAACAAGGGCAATATGGTCATCAGCCATGTTTTATATATATCCATTGACTTGTTATGTTATTTCTAATTTATAAATCGCGCAAATGTAGAACTTCTGGCTAGCTTTTAATTTGTTTCAAATCTGTTACCTGATATTAGATCAGCTATAAGCTTAGTTAGAATATTTTGGCCCTGAGTTTAATAATATCAAAAGGAAGATGAATGCTTTAAGACTTGAACTTTTGAATTGGTCCAAGCACCATTGGTGCATAGGATCAAAATTCAAGTTCTATACTGTTCCTGTATGTCAGTTTGGCATCAGAAATTTTCTGACATAGACTTGGCTGTAAAGATAGGAACTCTTTGCTATGTCAGTAAAGTAAGAAATGAGGATGAAAGATACTTTGGATACATTATGTTTCATGATTTTTTTTTTAGGCTGCTTATGTGTCTATGTGATGACATGGTTTATGGTGATGACCCCAAAAAGAAGATAAAGGCTGAGGTGTTTGCACTATAATGACACCATGTTGGCTTTTATGTTGTTGATTCCAAATTTATGCAATGTGGAATAATGTATCCTACTTCATTACCTAAAAGATGTACTTAATCGATTTTTTGATTCTGATAGTCAGTGAGACTGCTGGGAGATTCATCTGCTTCCTTCGAAAAGAATTGTGTAAGAGGTATTCAAGCTAATAGGGAAAGAATTTCAAAATTACTGCATGAGGTGAGTTGATGACTTATTTGAAAACAAGTCTCCAATGATGCCAAATGTTTGATCCCTAAGCTAATGTACTCTGTTGCTTCACTTTTAATTTACCTTGCAGTCACTAATGCTCGTCACTTCCTTGAACCCAGTAAGTTTCCATTCGTCTAATCCTGTCACTTCCTAAATTTCACATTCTTTTGAAACTAAATTTAAATTCTGTTCCAGAAAATTGGGTATGACAAGGCAGCAGCAGTTGCCAAGACAGCACACAAAGAGGGGACTACTCTTAAGGTGATGGTGCCTTGTTCTTTTTGTTTTTCTGTTTGTCTTGCATACTTTGAGCTCTCTTAATGAATAATAAATTTTATATAAATTTTTTTATTATGGCTTATATTAATTCTTAGCAAATTAAATTTAAGAAGCATATACTTCTGCAAATATGCTTGCAGAACCATTCCAATTCTTGTATTCGTTTGACTTATTAATAGTAATGATGTTTATACGGATGAATTGATTCCACTGATTTCTGTGCTGTTCGGGAATGTCCAATAAATTTTGGCTGAAATATCGAATTTGAAATGATTGTTTAGGAAGCTGCATTGAAGCTTGGAGTACTGAGCTCTGAAGATTTCGACAATCTTGTGGTGCCTGAGAAAATGATTGGCCCATCTGAGGTTTAGTTCAAATATTTCCTTGTTTCCTCATCAGCTACGTTGAAGTAGTATTTTTGAATTGTACCCTTTAAATTGAGAAAGAGCAATCCAATAACCAATAATTTTGACTTCCAAAGTGGATATTCTTGAGGGAAGAGCTCCTCCAAATTTGTAACCAGACCATGTGCAGAAATTTACTGACCCAAATAAAGGAAAAAAATTTATTTCATGTCATTGCATTATAATTTTGTTTCTATAGTGATTTCTGGATTGTAATATTTGAGTTATTGTTGATATCTAGTTCTGTCTTGCACAGGCGACGAATCTGTGTCGGTAGTAAAAAGGGAAGGGGAGCCAGAAAAGAGTATCTTTTATAATTTAATTATAAATGGCTTAAATCTACACATTGACTGAATATCCCTGTTGTTTCAGTGCAATTTTCTTTCCTTTTGTTTTTAATAATCGGGTTGAATTTCCAAATTTCCAAATTGTTCACCATATTTCAGTTTGACATAATGCATGCTCGTTTTTAGTGCTAGAATGGTCCAAGATTTTTACCCGGTACATCGCTTAAAGGTTAATTTATTGTCTAAATTAACTCCTTAGTCTCTTTATATTGCTTGATATAAGAGACAATAGTACTACTGATTATATTATTTATGGTTAAGTACATTGATCCCTTCTGAAGTTATTGTTAATTGTATTCGTATCCTTTTTTGGAAAATTACATTATCTTATTTTTATGTATTGTTTTTATACTTTGATTGTTTTATAAAAAAAGTATACATATCTTCATTATTTTTATGTACAGTTTATACATAAAATATTTTCAAAAATAATAATGAAAGGAAAATAAACATAATTTTTTAAAAAAAGAATTAAGTCAATAATATTGTTGAGGTGTTTTCACTTTTCCGTTTTACTTTTTGATGAAAAATCATTGCTCAATAAATTGATATACATCATATTAAATAGGGGTGTAAATGAGCTAGGTCGGTCTATAGGAACTTACGGTCTTGCCTATATTAGGTGACTTAGCCTATTACAAATAATAAAATAGAACATGCCTAGGCTTTTAAAAAAACCTATTTAAAAAGTAAGGCATAGACTTTTTTTGTACATGTCGGGCCTAGAAGCCTACAGATCGATTTATAATATGTCATATTATTTATTTTAAATAAAATAAAATAAATTATTATTTTAATAATTTTGAATAATAAAATAATATTATTTTAATTATTCTTTTAATTGTTGAATGTTTAATAGGCTTAAACAGGCTAACAGGCCTAGGTCAATTTTTTTTAAATATATGTCAGGTCAACCTTGTAATTTGGGGCCTACACAGGCTAACAAGTCAGGTCAGACCCAATTTTTTTACACAAATCTGTCATATTTAAGTTAAAATTTAGCCTATTTACACCCCTAATATTGAATCGCGAAGGAAATTAAACAAATAAAGAGTATCTCTTTGAGGATATCAAAAAAAAAAGTTTCTCTTTTCATAAAAACAACTATTTGTCCTTAACCCTTGAATTCTTTGTGCCTTTAACCTTTTCCTTACAACTTTGGTCTTCCTCAATCAAATCCTTATTTTCATAGTGGGTATTCTCTTTCTAGATGGGAAAAAAGAAATTGAGGGAGAATTTGATATATTGGAGACCATAATCTTAATTTTTAGTTTCTTTATATATTGTCTCATTAGGCATCCATTGCACCTAGTTGGACCAATATTAGGTATTCACTGATTTAGTGTCTGTTTGGATTCTATCTTTTTTAAGCTAGAAGTTACTTATAAGTATAAGTTAGGCCAAACAGGTTTTGGAAAAAGCTCTTATAATGAAAAGCTCTTTTTTTATAATAAAGAAAAAAGCTGAAAATTAAAAGCTCTTAGGAAAAGCTTTTTTTTAAGCTCTTATCTATTTTTCTTGAATTGTGTTTTTTTTTTTAAATAAAGAGTTATAAAAATAGATAAAGATAAATTTCTTGAAATATGTACTTTTAATTAACTTTTAAGCTAAAACTTTTATGTGATTATCAAACAGCTTTTAGCTTCTTTTTTTAAGCTCTCTTTTTTAGCTTTAGCTTATAAGTAGCTTCTAGCTTAAAAAGAAGAGGATCCAAACAGGCTCTTAGTCCATACCAAATTAGGAATCTGATTAGGCTCTTTTCTTTTAATCACTTAATTTTTTCAATAATTAAAGGGTAGTATATTATAACTACTAATTAGTGTTACTACCAATGTTACTACCAATCAATTTCACCGTTAGATCGATTATTTTGATCCAACGATTATATTTATTTCCATCTTTGTACAGTTATGATTCACCATATTTAATGTGAAAGCATTAAATATGAAAAATCATAACCATGCAAATGTAAAAATAATATAAAATATAAAATATGGAGAATCATAACTATACAAAGATGAAAATAAATATAACTGTTCGATCAACATAACGATCTAACGGTGAAATTGATTGGTAGTAACACTAATTGATTATTACAATATCATTTTCCATAATTAAATAATATAATATAATTGATAATTTAATTTGCATCCCATAATTATTAAGAAATAAAATTTCCTAATACTATAGTCATGTCAAAAGAGAATATTCATTCCTCGATTTGCTTATGTTGATTTGTCCGACCAATGATCACACGTCCATTAAATATTGTATGGTATTATTTTATTCTTTATGGATTTCATTAGCAATATAGATCGTTTGTTTTTAGAAAGATATTTGGTTTTGTCTCTGAATATTCGGTTTTGATATTCTTCATGTATGTCATGCTATACAAACGAATATTCATTAATTGGACGGTAGTGTAGAGTAAAATAGAATTAAGAATGGCTGGATCATGTTATACGTACATGTTTGATACGCTAATTTTTTTTTTTTAAATTTTGACTTTTTATATGTCGTAGTCAGAAGAGCTGCACAAAGATGCTGGCTTATGTTATAAAAAAAAAAAAAAAAAAAAAGATGCTGGCTTACGTATATAGCTAGGGGCTAAAACTATGATGTGGTTAATATTAGAGAAACGTTGCAGCCGACGCAAATATTTTTTATGCTCTCCAATAATTTGGTATTCTTTCTCACAGTATTAAATTTTTCTTTTCTTTTTTACCTCTTCTATTTTTCTTCTTTTCCAATTTTATCCTCTCATTTACACTAAGGGACCACCTAAAAATGGTGGTCCCGGACCACAATAAATTCTCTCGCAGCCGACACACACAGAGGTAAAAGTGTTAATGGACCGAGCCGAGCTGAACTTTGATCTTAAAAGGTTAAGTCTGTGTTTAAATGTGTCAGCCTGACTAAACTGTTACCTATTATAAATATAATTATCCGCTTGTGGTCTGACTTATTTACAAAATATAAAAGTCTGGTTTAACCTGTTTAAAAAAAATAAGACAACAAAAATTTATCTAAATAAAATATACAATCAACAACACTAGTAATTTCATAAATATTCATAAATTCAATGTATATCCAAACAGCATAATATAAAACAAAATCATTCAAAAAGTTTGTTTAACCAATAAAATTAGGTGAAATGGATTGAGGAGAAAGAGAGGGCTATTATAAGTAGTATAAAAAAAATAATATATTAGGCAAGCCTGAGAGGCTCCAAGGTCGAGCTTTTGAATTGGAGCCTGAGACTTTTTTATTAAACGAGCTTTTATACAAGTTCAAGCCTAGTGCCAACAATCAATTTTAGACATGTAAACTCAGGCCTTCACGAGCCGAGTCAAAGGCCCCTGGTTCGTTTAGCACCCCTATATATAAGGATAGGTTATTCTTCCTATTCTTATTTTGCCTATCTTTGTCTATCCCTCTCAACACCGTTAAATTGCAATATCATCCAACAGTGGATATTTGTGGAATAAAATAAACCATTTTTCTCTTTCTTTCTTCTCAATGCCTCCCGCACTCTTTCTCTCTCCTCCATTTTCTCTTTATTGATTTGCGTAATTTACAACCTCAATTTATATTTGAATCTAAATCCATACAATAATTAATGACATGATAACTCTGCTAGATAAGTATAATTTTCAAAATTCCTTGAATCTGATATAATTGAACACGGTAGAAACCACAAAAATACAAAAAAATAAAAACCACGAATAATCTCTTCCTTTGAATTAATCCACGATTACCATAACGTTTCTACTTTGCTATTAAAATTTGAAATTAAATCAACTTATCTTCTTCTTCTTATCTTGTTCTTGTAGATACAAAGTATGTTTTGATGATAACAAAGTGGCAACAACAAAAAAGCAAGATCGTTTGATCAAGAGCAAAAAGCATCAACCATATGTGGATATTGAAGATGTATGATGTAGCCACACAAGAAGAGTCATGTCATATCAAAGTGGCAAGATCATTGGATCAAGAGCAACAATGAATAATTAGAAGAGCAATAACAAGATCAAAGACAACTAACCATGGACAACATCTAAGAGAAGCTCAATATCATAACCATGATTAAAAATAATCAAAACCAACAAAGTGTCAAGTATTGTCATATTCAACAAGTCAAAACATCAAGTTCAAGAAAATATCCAAGACACAAGACATGAAACTAAGTCTAAAATCATATTTAGAATATATCTTTAGGACTTAGAATATATGTGAGGGTATATGATAGATTGCATTGCATGAGCTCAAAGTTTTTCTCAAAGTAAATGTGTTTTTCAAATTGCATAATCATAACCTTTATATACTTGAAAGAAATTTGAAATATTCATGGAAAAGACCTTTGACATATTTTATAACTTCAAAACATATTTATCAAGTCAAGATCTTTCACAAAAAGTAGTTGGAAGCAAGCTAGAACACATTTGAACTTAAAATTTGTTGCTTAATTTTACTTCTGCCTTCCATACAATTTTTTGTATCTAATATGATGGATTTAGATCTTGTGTTCTTCATAAAAATTGTAGATATCTCTTTTATCTTTTTAAAGAGACCAAGATCACATCAATCCGACAAGTATAACTCAAATTATAGCCAAAACACAAAACAATGTTCTTGTTGTCAAGTTGGAAATCGACTACCACTGCAACAGATCCCAACGGCTATAAAACAGCTAGTTTTTCAAAAGTGATCCCAACGGCTATAAACAGCTATAAAACGGCTAGTTTTTCAAATGAGATCCCAACGGCTATAAATGGCTAGTTTTCAATTAAAATACACTATATATGCATTCACAATGACTCAAAAAGATTGGGCATCATTTCTACACATATTAAGCATTCTTTGAGAGCTTCTACACTATCATTTTCATATTCTTTGATATCTTTCAAAGATCAAACATATTTGAGCTCACATCTTGAAAATTCATATACCCATAGTGCTTCAAGTTGTATACCCACACTTTGAGAGTGTATATTCATTTCTAAATATTTTCCTC